AAGAATAACAACAAAGCCAAGGATACCTTTTCAAATTTAATATATAAATCAACTAAGTGTCAGTCAGTGGCTTTATGCTGTACTTAAAATGGGTCTTCAGAGAAAAGTACAACAATACGCACCCACCGGGGTTCAAACCTTGGACCTTCTGGTTACAAGGCGAGCTCGTAGACTATTAAGCCACTGGAACCCGATCCAATGGGTGCGCAATGTGAAGAGTCCCAAACTGAGACGAAACAGCTGCCCGTAGTTTTTAGTGCTTCTGTAACTGATATTCAACCATGATCAGAAGTGAAATAAAACACAACAATATTCTCACTGCATCAAATATTATACGTTGAAAAGCAAGCCGGGAAATGTTACATGGTCCGCTATGCAGTTTACTCACAAGTATGAAGAATGCGACAACTTTACTTCCACGTGAGAATGAGTTAAACTTGGTGTATAGAAATAAAATTTAAAGATTTTTAGAATATGCAAATGGAAAAGTAGTCATAATATATCATCATCTTATAGAATAATAAAGGAACAGTTGTTTAAAAACTAGTTTTTCTTGGTGTATCACAGACTCCTGATTAAAGTCTTAGAAACAGAGTGACGCTTGAGGATAACAGTAATCACAAGGTGTTTTCTCATATAGAATAGCGAACCGCACGGCAGATATTCCAACTGTGTAAAAAAAGTAATCGATAGGGCTAAATGTGACATCTGATATAATTACATTATTCCTATTAGCATATTATACAAAATCCTGTAAGACCAACTATCTAAGAAAATTCAAATCGTATGTGACTGTCTTTGTTCTACCCATTCAAGTAAACGGACACGAAAGGGAATTGAATTTGGTTTTGCTATCAGTCACATACTCATCGCTAGTGACTTGCCACAGGACGGAGTTTCCTTCAGTCCTAGTGAGAAGTCGTGACCACTGAGGTTCACCCAGTCAAGTGTGAGGATGGATGTCCTACTGATGACATTGGTTGATGGTCGCGCTAAATGCATCACGAATTGGTAGAAGTTAGAATTCATGGGCTGGCCATTGAATCGGGTCCCAGTGGCTGAATGGTCTACAAGCTAGCTCGCCTCGCAACCTGGAGCTCCTGGGTTCTAATCCTGCTGGTGAGTACGTACTGCCGATGATTCCCAAACTAGGATGTGGGGAACAGCTGTCCAGTACTCCTTGCTGGTTTTCAATGCTTCTCTAACTGATATCAATCCGTGATCAACTCGTAGAAACAAATCTAATCCTTACAAACCAACTATTGCAAGTAACTGTGTTTATTTAATATTTTGTGTTTCTACAAAACCTTGTTATTTACTTTCTACACACGCATCATCATCATAATCATCATCATTACACTGATTTATTTACTTCATTTATTGGTGCCTTGTAGGAAATAAATTTTGCACAATATACACCAATTTCCTAACACGCACACACACACACATCAATGTATTCTTTGAATGACTATACTAAGTAGTATATTAAGGGTTAAACGAAAAATAATCAATGAAAAAATAGTCATCCTTATGTTTATTATCACCACAATCATCATCATCATCATCGTCATGATCATCATGGTCATCATCGTTGTTATGACACGGCTGCAACAAGTGATTCCTTCCACTTTGTTTATCTTTTCATCCTTTCACCTTCAGATGCGTCACATACTCATTCCTATATGTATATACAGATACATTGTTTATATTTACCAAAAATATATTGTTAACAGGGTAAATATTATGATAAACAGCCATATATTATGTGCTTAGATGCTCTTGTAAAGGAAGACGAAAAGAAATTTATGAGGTCTTCCTTTTTCTAGGTTTATATTTCACTGTCACAAGTGATGGCTACTTAGATCTCATATTTTTTTCATAAAATAGAAGGGATCATATAAATATATGTATACAAACATTCGTGTGTAACTTCCGGTTGACACTCTGGAATGTAATAATACCTGAGTTCATTTGTCAGGTGTCATTGACAGATTACAATAATAATATGCCTATCATATTTCAGTGTCAAGCTCTCCTTATTTTACTGGTATGACTGAAAGAATGTGTATTTAAGAGAATCAGTGAGTGATTGAGTGAGTGAGTCAGTTCCCTTAGTTGTGTGAGACTTGTTTATTCGATTTTTCTTTTCTTTTTCTCTTTTTGATTTATTTCTATTACATCAGTATGGTTGTTAGTATTGTCGTTCTTTTTGTGAGTTAAAAAATTAGCATCTCTTTGTTAAATTTCACTTCGCAAATAGTGCTTTTTTGGAATTTAAGTTTTTGTTAGTTTCTAAGTTCAGTCAATTCGTGATTAATCTTCAAATCAGTCAAATAATCCTTGCAAATCAACACTTGAAAATTAATCTAGGACACACCGGTGACTGATTACAAGAGGAGACATGGTAACGGACTTCTTTTATTAAGGAAAAACACATCATATTTATACATTTTAGCCACATTTAAAGTCGACTAGGTTAGCGGATTGTGAAATGTTCTGATTGGTTATTGATTTTCCGAAGGTTAAACCTTAGGGCAAAAAGTTGTCCAATTAGATTTTCTGACCACAATGTATGCTAAATCCAGATTTCAGGAATAAACACTTTTACTTCTGTAGCAATCAACTTAAAACATTGTTTTCAATTTTAGCTTCTATGTACTACTGATAAATCTTGTCAGAAGCACACGCTACAAAGTTGCTTGAAATTTTAGTGAGAAGTCGTGACTAGCTAGGATACATACTCAGTGATGACAGTGGCTTTCGGTTGCGCTATATAACGCGAACCAAGTGAAGTTGGAATTCATAGACCATTGAATTCCTCCCCATGGCGGAGTGATGAACGAGCCCACCTTGTTACCTGGACGTCCTTGTGCTAGCACACACCCACCGAGGTTCGACCCAGGACCTTCCAGTTGCGAGGTCATTGGGTTGGATACCAGTGGCTGAATGGTCTAGGAGCTCGCCTCGTAACCAGATGGTCCTGGATTCGAACCTTGGTAGGTGTGCGCTAGTGAAGAGTCTCAAGCCAAGACGAAACAGCTGTGCAGTACTCCCTGGTTTTCCAGTGGTTCTCTAACTGATATTAGCTCATGATGAAATCCTGTAACCAATCGAATCCCTGCAATGCAACACTTTATAATTTACTTTAGTTACTGCTTTTACAGTGGCTTTCATGTGCGGAGATTTTTACTGGATTTTTACGAAAATATGAGCCTTGTTTGCGGTTGAGTTGTTGCTGCATATGAGGCTTTGTTTATATTTGTGTGCTACAGGAATTATTAAGTAATTGAAGTTTCAGTGGATGAAGTTAGAAAACTTTTGCATTCTCTTTCAGAAATACGGGTTGTTTATCAAACATCTATTAATAAGATTAAACCAAATAGCTTCTTTTTAACCTATACCCGCATTTAATACTTAATTTATTAATATAATGTAACGGATGCATGGTTATTCACTTCTGTAATCTCTTTGTTATGATCTGTATATTAATCAGTAAAAATAATACGTTCAGTCTTGCATTATTCAAACTCTACAATAATTACACTTGATCATGAGTTTTAACGCTTATGATCATTATAAAGTGGTTAAAGGTGGTATGCAGGATGCGTGCTTGCCAGCACTTCTCAGTCAGGTCTACGCATTGTCTCAGGGCGAGCAAGAACTATTTAAGAGAGGAGAAAGTAAATCAACTGCTGTTTCCACTTAGGTAACAGATCTCATCTGTTGAGGGTCAAGATACACCTAGCTAATCAGTGACGATAAGCATGGTATAAAGGCGAAGCGAATCTTCCTGCCTCTTGCTGTCTTATGTTAGTAAAAGGACAGTCCATTAATTAGTCTCTTAACTTTATAGGCACAGTTCATATTTGGTCAGTAGCATTCACTCATCACCCAAGATAGGGCTGTATACCAAAGGTTACTTTTCAGTTATTATGTCAGCTTTGATATGCATGAATGTTACTCTTAGAGACCGATAACTTCATCCCTTGTGGTTCAAGAAAATGACTACTTATGTAGTTAACAAAGTGAAAACGTCTTTGTATATGTAGGTTTGACAGAATGTAAATAACTGGGTTTTTAAAAAAAGCTTGATTGGGCATTAGTAACTGGTTAGCTCTCAAAGGCAGTACGGACGACGACTTCAAAGGCAGGTAGGATCGGGAAAGCTAGACAAGTGTTTACCACTCTGAAATAAGTGTGGAAATATATATAGCGCTCACAGCAAAGAACAAATCCAAATTTTTAGTACTAATGTTAAGGTAGTCATAGCTTCCATATGATTCACAGGTCTGTTGCAAGCATCACCAGAAGCCCTTACAACAGGCTGCAGATATTCATCAAAAAGGATAAGCAACAAGGAACTCTGGCGGAGGATTAGTGAGGAATCTATTAATCAACAAATATGCAAGAGGAAATGGAGATGGAATGGATACACTCTGAAGAAAAAAGCAAATGACATTAGGTTCTAGGCTAGCCGTCAAGAGGAATCCAGAAGGAAGCGACGAGTTGGGCGTCGGAGGAGAGTGTGGAGGAGATCAAGACTGGAGAGGAAGACATGAAGCCATTTTCAAGGGACTGCGCATAACAATGGAGATGTCCTCCAGAGGTTCTATGCCCCCGTCAGAACATAAAGAACTGAACAACAGGAAATACAAGATTTCACAGCCGATATAAATAAGTCAAAGAAAATGTTTTTTTTTAATGTTTCTCGTAAAGTTCGCACACAGAAACCTAGTGACATCGTCTTTTGTTAGAGTCGGACGGGAGTCGAAGCTCGACTTCTAGAGTCGTTAGCAAGCTTTTTGAGCCACCGACATATATACGATCAAATCCAGCAGATCCTAAGTACATATACCAGTTCATCTGCTATTGAAAGGTATGGTATAATCTTTCTCAAAGAATTTGAATTACAGCGATAAAAGCTTAAATGTATTTTGCTTTTAAAAATAATATCGTATTCATAGCTTCTTCCTCTTTTTTTATTACTTTTGTTTATTTAGCTCCAGAAATTATCAACTATGATCCTATCACATTTGCTACAGATATGTGGTGAGTTATTTAAAAAGAAATGTATTCACTATATCTTTCTTTCGAGTGAGACCACGGATTTATATCAGTTAGAGAACCACTGAAAACCAACAAGGAGTACTGGACAGCTGTCCTCTCCTCCCATCCTAGTTTGGGAATCATCGGCAGTACGCACCCACCAATAAGGTTCGAACCTAGGACCTTCTGGTTACAAGGCTAGCGAGCTCGTATATTATTCAGCCACCGGGGCCCGATTCAATAGCCCAGCAACTCTTGAAAATTCACTGTATCGTCAAGAAATAATAATTTAGCCAGGAATTGTATTTCTACCGAGCTATTTTAACCATAATTTTACTTCCATCGACCATGTTGTGTTTACTTTTGTGATTGAGTGGTCAGTTTCAATATGAAATACCCAGTTGATAAGTACAGGAAATTCATGATATTCAGTATCTTTTTAAAAATACTTTTCGCACGGCTGTTATAAGTTACACTTTTAGGACAATCACTCAGGCATGGATCAGCAATCACCCTCATGACAGACATTTCTTGTAGACGTGTAAGTGATTGAATTGTGCAAAGGTTAGTCTTACTAATTCATATATAACTGAGAGATCTTTTACAAGTTCTTTAAGGTCATAACTTTGAAATATATCACATAGAGTAGCATATAAAACATTGGCTTCATATTCACTTCTAAACTCAATACAATTGCATTACAACTGGTTGTGCTTATGAATGAGACGCATTGATTAATACTTCAGTTAGATAGCTTCTAAAAAAGAAACAATCATACACCTTCTTATGCAGATGGATGTGTCTGAAAATTGTTAAGGTTCAAGAAAAGCTTGTAATTCTGGACCTAAGTAAGTGTTCTTCAGAATTATCTTATTATTTCATATTGAATGAAGTTTTGAGGTCATTGTCACACCACTTCTCATCAAAACGAAGTATATATATCAGAAATAAATGTTTTATTTATTTATGGTGTACTTTGATTGAACACTAGTAACTAGTGTGATGTGTCTGGTCCTATCTTTTATGCAGACTGAATGCTATCAGTTAGGTTTACAATGTGGCCACCATGTCACAAGGTGGCTCGCCATCACGGTGCACATTGATTTGGTGATATTAGATGTTTGGAGGCAATTGGCAGGAGGCTTTTCTTGACCTAGGTTTCGTGCTAGTTGGCACTCACCAGTCAGCAAGGCGTATCTGCAACCTTGAAGAAACTCCTGTCCCCATCTTCTGAGATTCAAACCCGTGTCATCAAGTGCTGCGGTCAGAGACACTTCGCGATTGACCCCCTGTAGGTTTAAGGCTTCCTTCCGACTGTCTTCAACCATCTAATATCAACCATTAACAGTGCGACATGGCGGCCACAGTGCAAAATGACGGATAGAACTCAATTTGCACTAAACAAAGGACTAGATACATCATACTAGTTGCTAATTAGTATCCAGACAAAGTATCCAATACAGTCCTACAAGAGCTCAATTGCGAACCCGAATAGCTCAGTGGTAACTTCTCTGACTACAGCACTCGGTGACTCAGTTTCGAATCTCAGAAGAGGGGGATAAGGGTTCCTTTGAGGTTACAGATACGCCTTACTGGCTGATGTGTGTCAACTAACACTAAACCTACTTCAAGCAAGGCTTCCTGCCAATTGCCTCCAACCACATAATACTACTCTTGGTATATTTTACCTTTCTGTTGCTCACTATGTAACTTTTCTTATGGATCTGATTTTTTCTAATAGATTAGATTTTCTAATTAAAAATTCAGTTAAACAATTCTTTCCATTGTCAACCGAAATAAATCATGAATTACAAATAATATATATGGTAGTATAATATGAGCCAATGTTTTATAATTTTGCAAATTCTAAACAGTTGTCATAGTGATTATAGTTTACAGAACAAGGTTCAATAAGGAAAAATTTTGTTGCGTCATCCAATCTTGTCTTATTTCTGGTTCTAGCTTAAATAATAAGAAATTCGATGTTAATCTGAACTTCGTTTATCTTACTTTTAACATACTTGTAGTTATTTGAGTTCTTTTCGCTAACATACTGTGTGCAACTAAAGATTGTTTTGTGCACATTTTGAAACCTGTTCATTTTATCATTTTATTTCAAGAGTATCCACCTAATAATTCCTAACTTTTAACCGCTCGCATTATTCTGACTTATGGCCCCCCCCACCCGACACCGTATTATTTGGTCAATGGTGGCTAACGGTAGAAATCAGGGTGTGTATTTCATTCTGTTTACTGCTCATCAGCTGAATGTGTTAGTGTCCCCACTGTAACTAGAAACTAACACCGGTCATTTCAAACTCCATAGGATTTCGACTTCATATGAGTCGATCAATGGGAAGAAAATACGGGACCACTTAGATAAAAATATCTTCTATGTTTTTGTTTCCATGATTACTTATCAACCTGCTAAAAGTATTATCAAGTAGTACTTACTCAGAGCCTTCTAATTACTGGACGAACTTGTTGATCATTCAAACACTGGGACGGACTGCAATGTTCCATCAATTCTAACTTCTGCTAATTCACAATGTATGTTGCTCGACCGTCAGCCACTGTCATCGGCGAACATTTGTCCTCATACCTAACTTGAAAAGGTATTTTCCAGTTGTTTGGTTTTGGTATAGTTTGGGTTATAAACAATAGAAAATAATTAGCAAAATAATATCATAAAAAAGTAATTGAATCCATATTATCCCTTATCAAGCAATAAAATAGGTAAACTCATTTTTTAATCATTTCCCAATTACGCAAAGTGAATATTTAAATAACCGTACTAAAACTCAAGGAGGTTGTATCCGAAGAGAAAAGATAACTTAGATAAGAATTTAATTAACCTTTTCCCGAGTAATACTTCATTTTTAGGGCTCACGAGAGACTTGAGAAGCTGAGGAGTTTTGACCTACCGGCCTACATATTATTCCATATTTTCATTAATGATTCAATGAATGAATACCTACTGATTTTATTTGAATTAGTTGAAGGATTTCATCATGAGCTGACATCACTTAGAGAACCACTGGAAAACCCAGAAGTACCGTACAGCTGTTTCGCCCCGGTTTTGGACTTTCCATCACTTGGAACACATTATTCTGAACAAACTCTTATATATTTGGCAATAAGCTACATTTATTTTTTTAATGGGCTGATAGTATTGCCCAGGTTCTCACTCTGTAATGAGATTCCAACCAGGGGCTCATTTACTGGAATCCTAATGCTTAAGAGGATGAGCTACACTTCGACGTCACTTCATTTTTAAAACGATTTTTTCTGTTTATACGTTATTTTATAGAAATTTTACCATTTCGACTTATGTTTTTTGTAAAGTTATGATATAACTAACAGAATGCTGTGCACATTGTCAGAATGGTTAAAGTAGTTAGGGTAATCAAATCAGTTCATTTAAATTTGTGTTCATGTAAGCCTATTTAAAACTCTCACCTTCTATGTTTGCATGTTTTTTCCCCTTTTAGTTGTATTATTTGTCATGATATAGCCTAATTCGAGTGATGTTAGTTTAAATTAACTGAAAGTATTTGCCATTACTGGCGTGCTAAAGTGATGTTAGTTGCTTGGTGAAAAAAATTTGTCTTAAATTCGATGAAATTTCTACAAAACCCTAAAAATTTAAATTTGTACTAGTGATCTCAAACACAACTGAGCAGAGGAAATCATTTTTATCAGTAAGGTGATTTTAGCTTTCTTTTAAAAACTATTTAACTTTATCATTATTTGATGTATATTTTAAAGGTTTCTTATTTAAGAGGTTGAAAATTGAAATATTTTTTTTTAGCTTTTTGTATTTATTTATAATGTTCAATGAGTTCTGTAACTGTTAAATATTTGAAATCTGCCAATTTTCCACTGTTATGTGTAGGTGCGTTACAGCCT